TGAAAAGTATTATTTATCACCGAAACATATAATATGAACAAGTATAATTTACCACTATAACGTTTTTAGTTACATTATTTATGTGTGCGCATAGAACTTAAAACTCCAAAAAGGCAACTTTACTTTTTTTTTTTTTTTATTCAGTATGAAAAATATTTGGTATTGCAACCATATATATAAAGATAGGCATTTCGAAACCAAATAAGGAAACGATTAGAGAATTTACTATTTGAAAAAATAGTGATCAATTCGAGGTGCTTAATAGTAAAAATGGCATTAGATAGGCGCTTTTGACACTCCTATTTAGAACATACCAAGTTCTTAAAAGTTATTTAAAGTTTAGCCAATTTTGGCAAACTCCAGCTACGGTTGCTTCTTCACTTCAGACCTTCGGTTCTGAAGTTTTTAACTGCTATAATCTAACTTTAAACACAAAGGTTTAAAGTTTGCACTACCAAAACCAAAACTTCATACTTACAGATCTAAAGTTAGGCTCTGCCAAAGTCTAAATTCAAAACGAATATGAAAGGTCTATGTTGGAGGATTCATAAAAGTTCCAATAATGGTATCGTTCTGTTGGCTTTTAGAGATCGACTCCATTTATTTTAGTTATTTCTTGCGAGTACAACTTATACACTTGACAATGTCTAACTGTCAAGAATTTTTCTACCAATCAAGTCATTCAAAATATATTTACATTGTAAAGTTTCTCTCCTCTCAGTTGCTAACTAACATAACCCTGCTAATTTAAAAACAAAAACTTATGCTGCCTGCTTAACTAATTGCAACTTTGCATAACTTTATCCACATAGGGTGTGCTTGACATGAAGTGAAAAATGTTTTCCAATTTTCTCATGTTTGGTAGGCTTAAATGCTTGGAAAACATTTTCCTCATGAACTCATTTTCTTCCAATTGGAGAAAAATACTTTCACTACCAACCGGAGAGAAAACATTTTTCAGAACTCTTTTGCAACCTTCCCCAGTCTATTTCCCATCCCCACCACCCTCACCCCACCCATTTTGTCTCCCATAGTGTTCGCCTAAATTATATATTTTCTTAAAAAAATATTTTTTTACTCACTAATCAAACACTAAAAGATATTTTCCTGAAAAAAAAAATTCCATTCACCAATCAAACATGAAAAAATAAGTGATAAAACCATGAAAATATTTCCCAAGGAAAACATTTTCCTTCATATCAAACACAGCCATAATGGAGAGTCTTCTTTGATGTAGAGGTCAAACCTCATAGTAGGAACTCAAGAGTTGAAGAAATTATGTATCCAGGTACTAAGGGAGTAGACCAAGGAAATGTGGACGGTGGTGCTTACCAACCATGCATGGCCAGCATTTTAAGAGAGCTAGATGACGCCTTGATCATATAAATAATGGATCAGAATATATGAACTATGAAGTCCATAGAGAGCTTTGGATGATATAATCGTTTCCTCTATAGAACAGTACATTAACCTTCGACCCACTAAATTTCAAATAGAACCATTCACCACCTCCTTTCAAAACCAACTCCCCTGCCAAGATAATAGTTCAGCAGAAGGAATTCGGCTGTTGCAATATTAACAGATTCAGGTGAGAATTTTTTCAAAGAAATATTACTCCTCAAATAACTTTAACTTAAATCGTCCCTTATTTATTCAGGGAAGAAGATTCTAATATGCAATAGAGCTTCCCAATAAATGCCCTCTGGTAGTAAATTTCAAGCATTGGTTCTTTTCTAAACATGGCACAAGAACACGTGCAGCTTGGTAGAGAATATCACTTAATTCACTACTCTGGGTCATTCAACTACTAAAGCCTCAAAGATTGATTTTCATGCAACGGCTGTCTGAAACTTCAAGTCTCATATCAATGAAAAGCCGCATTATCCAAATTTAGGGATCAGCCAACATGCCAAACAACAGCAAATTTCATCTCTCTAACACTGATAAGTGGCTATGCTTCTTTTACAAAAGAAAAAGAGTAAATTATTCTAATCACCCCTAAAAGATTGTGCAGCAGTTCATAGTTTACTATGGGTTTATCTGTCCATGATATGGCATGCGTACTTTTGAGATTATATGATATGACTTGAGACCAGTTATAAGAAACTTAGCAGAATATAGGAATTAGGATAGAATTCTTGATTACTCCCTGTTCACATGCAGTATAGAGTCCAAGGAATCCCTCTCTCAACCCAATTTTGAGAAAGTATTCAAACAACATCTCATGAAATAACACAGATTTTTCATCATTGTTGGAGGGAAAAAATTTCACTAGTAGGAGATGCCAAAACTGTAAACAAGAACTGCAACAATAATTAGCTTGAATTAGAAAGACTGGACTCACTTAATGAACCATCAAAAGAAAATTGAAATTGCCCAATCAACTCAGCAGCTTTTTTATGCAAATACATAAATGACCCAGCCTGTGTGAACTTGTAACATTGTCAGTCTAAAACTCGGGTAAAGGAGAATTGTGATAGGTCGACGTAATGCAAAAAACTATCAATGAATCATGACGAGCTATTGAGTATTCACATGGATGAGACAGAGCAAGTTCATGCCCAAGTTTCCAGGCATCGTACATGCATGTAGGGTGTTAACTTTTATATTTTTTATTTTTTTGATTCAGGAAGTAGGGCGCTAAATCCAGAAGATTAAAATAAAGCAAATCAAATATACAGGGAAAAAATGAAGTTGGAAAGAATAAGAATACTCATTGTCTTGGAAGCACCAACCCTTTCATTCAGGAACACACCAGCAGCATTCTGCACTCAAAGTTCCAGGGTGATAGCGTCACTGAGGTCCGAATATAACAAGTTCCGTAACTCTGTAAAAATGAGATATGTGTGATGGACAAGAAAGCTGTGTGATCAAGCTGGAAGAGCTGATGAGAAAGCAGCCTGATTCAAGGAGTCTCTGGATTGGGAGATCTGAGAAATTTGTTGCTGAAGAATTACTCAGATTCTTTCTTCTTCTTCTTCTTCTTCTTCTTCTTCTTCTTCTTCTTCTTCTTTTTTTTTTTTAACTTTTTTTTATAAGAGATGAATTATCTCACATAAAAGCAACTAGAACTAAGACTTATTACTATACCATTTTCCTATAAGTCCATTGCAATTAAACACTGGTATAATCTTATAACTATATAAAATAGAATAAAATAAACAATGCTCAACCGAAGCTAAGACTAGTGGCTAGATGAAGGCAAAGGGAAAAACATGTAAACTCTAGCAATCAATTACCCAGTAACCTTCTTCATAGAGAAATCAACCATGTTACCAATAACGAGTCTGGAGAATAGCTCCATGGTATTTGGACAGCAAGCTATTTCATTATCATGTCTGACCTTTCATTATATAAATTCTGTATTGCAAACAATATTAAAAATTACAACAAGAATGAGCTTTTTGTAGGGATTAAGGCATAGTTGATGTTACACTTCTGATGTTTTCGAGAAAGTCATTGTATCCTAGTTACAGACTTCTATGTCCAAGTATGATTAAGGGAACCCCTAATTCTTTTTGGTATTACAGATAAGGCGGACTGAATCAGATGATTTACACAGCCGACGTCAACTAGTTTGAGAATGAGCATAGCTGATTGGTTGATTATGAGATTTTACAAGGTTGTTGTACATAACAAGTGAAAAGAAGATTTAAAATCAGACAACAACAAACCCAGTGCACTCCCACAAGTGGGTTTGGGGAGGGTAATGTGTACGCAGACCTTACCCCTACCTTTAAAAAGGCAGAGAGGCTGTTTCCGGTAGACCCTCGGCTCACGGAAGATTTAAAATCAGACAACAACAACAACAAATCCGGTGTATTCCCAAGACAAATTTCAAAAAAGAAAAATGAATACAGAAATATCAGAACCCCTTCTCATGTGGAAGAAGCAAACCAGCTTCTCATGGTGTAATTGCGAGTGAGAGAAGGTGAAAGAAGAAGCAAGAAAATAAGAGGCCGAGATCCAGCAGATTAGAGTTCCATGGAGTCATATGTAGAAGGCAGGCAAGGAGATTGAAACGACCTTACAGAAGGTATAGTACCATTTGCTTCATATTAACTAGGTCAAAAGACTAAGATGGTCTAGCAGAATGCATGCAACCTTTTGTTCCCTCATATCCACTTCTCAGTCCTATTTCAACCTTCTCAACAAAGTATTTCTGTGATGCATTAGCTGTGAAACATGGTGAGAGAAGGTGTTAAACGGGGACGAGGTACAGTTAAAATCACATGGAAGAAGTCTCGGAAAACCTACAAACTCTTGGAATCAATCAGACCTAATGAAAGATGGGCACAATGGAAGAAAACGACTTATACAGGCAGTACCAATTAGTTGGGAATATATTTCAGTAAAATGTTAATACGTTTAATAGGTCGTATGCTTTCTAGGAATCTATTAGCCTTATTAGAGATTTTGATCCTTATGAAAGTAAGAAAAACATAGATTTCTAGTATTTTTTATTTTTATTTTTATTTCTTGAAATGTTGGCTTGATATGAATAAATGGGGAACATGGTCATCGGGAATTCATATAGCCGATGGATTTCAAGGATCAGTCAAATTCGCCAAAAGGAGGGGAATTTTCTTGATCCTTTGGTAAACTGAATTCAGTTCGGAAAGGTGGGAAAACAGTTCTTCGGGTGAGCAGTTTCAAAGGATAAAGGAATAATTAAAGGTACCCTAGCTGGATAGCTAAGACCCTAAGAAGGCTTAGGCCGAATGCTTACCTTATGCTTATGTACTGGCCATAGAGAAGGTAGGTAGGAATAGATGGGCTGACGGATTAGGGGAATGGACCACTCGCAAGACTGAAAACTCAAAGAAGAAGCCAAAAAAAAACTCCAACTTGTTTGGGACTGAGACATAGTTATTAGTGTTATATTAGCTGTGAACCAACTCAAGAGAATAGTAGCTTTTAAGAACCAGAGAAATCAGAATAAAAAGCCTTTAAATCTAATACGTATTCAAACTACAAGTTACTTAAATTCCACCCATCACTTGCACAAAAATTGTGTCAAATCGTTTGGCATTGAAATGTAACTGACTTGAATAGATCAGTATTCTTATAGCTAACCTAACTAATTCCAGATCGAGGCACATTTGATTGATTCATCAACTAATTTTCATAAAAATAAGGTTTTTTAACAAATATGATCTCCAATAACCAAGCATTTTATAATACAGAAGTAAAGCAGCTTACAGATAAAGAGCATTATTAGATGATACATCATCATTTCACACATTAAACAGAGCTGGATTAGCAGTGGCTGTGGTGACTTGTACTTCAAGCAGTTCCAAGCGACGTTCAAGTGTATCGAGCTTCTCATTCAGTGTCGCCAATTTACTCTTCGTCGTTGCCTCTGTAAATACAACAAAATTAATCGCTACTGTTAAAAAAAAAAAGGAAAAACGGTAAAATTCACCCACGCTCATTGTTTATCCCAAATCAATGAATGCAAAACATACATCTTTCATACACACATTTACTACTTAATCATGGTTAACTGATATGTATTTTCACTTTAATTTCAAAGTACTAAGGTTAAATTGTTTGATTTTGCGTAAAAACCAGATAAGTTTTAGGAGTTAGAGAATAGTTACCGAATTGGACGAGGAAGTCGAAAAGTTTACGGACGTTAAGGGAGATGTGAGAAATGAATTCACGATTCTCCCAATCGGCTTGTACTGCTATACCTACATTCACGGCGTTGGTAATTCCGCCGGCTCTAGCCATATTTTCCCCTACTGCTTCCGATTTGAGTGAAAATAGAGAGAACTGAAAGGAGAAGAGTGAATTTAGCGATGATTTTTCTTATATCTTTGTAATTGGTAGACGTGGGAGCAATGGAGCTGAGCAGCGTCTCCCTTAGTCGCTCGGTTGACTGCAGTTTTCCCCCTTTTCTGTCTGTCTTCAATTTTTTGTTTCTTTTTCTTGGTTTTTGTAAGATTGTAAGTTAAGAAAAATGATGGAGATAGTGCGACCTTCTTAACTTTAAAGGCAAGCATCTTTAATTGCAAAAAATTTCGTAAATGTGATGTATTACAAATATTAAGATATATTAAATTATCTTTTCTTGAAAGTAAAAAACATTAATTATATAGCATAAAAACCTAAATGTGAAAAGTAAATAAGGGTATAATAGTAAAAAAAAAACCTATTATTAGTGGTTTCTTAAGAGATGTGCAAAATAGAAACATAACAACACTAATGAACAAGAGTGGAATAGCAAAATTTATTTATGAGAGAGAGAGCAAATAAGCCATTTTGCTTGGGCGGCAGATTATGGGCATTGGCATTGTGGTAGAACGGTGTCAAAGGACTAAGGCTGGGCGTAATGCCAGTCTTGGACGCGCACAGGAGTTGAGCACAAAACGCACATGAGTGCACACAGGGTAGTTGGGCAGTTGTAACTGCTTATGGCCAGATTTCTAAAGTCTCGTACCACTTTTGTAATTTAAAATCTGAATGCCTAGGTAGTTGGGATGTCATCTGCACATTATTTCTTATTGGCCTTGAGTTCGACAAGTATCATAAGCCTATTTGTTGTAAGCCAAAGGCGGGCACATGTGTTATAAATGTGCAACCTTGGTCTAAGGAACACTAGGAAGAAACATGAGGGTCTCGAGAGAGTGTTGAAAGGCAGCAATTAACTTGTCATTGTGCCTAATCGAAGTTTAAAGTTGAGTGTGGCCAACTTGTGGTCATAACAAGTGAGGGTCCTTCATAAATTTTGATATTAATGCAAAGGTTGGGAATTTTTTCCATATCTGATTGTGTCTTTACTTTGTTGTGCTAAAAAAATACCCTAAGTACCTAAAAAGTTTAAGTGTTGACGAAGGCTGAGTCAAGTGTAGACTTGACTGTCGCACAGTGGGCGAACCTTGGGCAAAAACGCGGGTGTGAAAAAAATTACCTCCGTGACAATAAGCATATTGGTGATACCTGGCTTCAAAAGTGATGCCTATAACAACAACAACAACAACCCAGTAAAATTCCACAAGTAGGGTTTGGGGAGGGTAGTGTGTACGCGGACCTTACCCCTACCCGATTGAGTAGAGAGGCTGTTTTCGATAGACTCTCGGCTCAAGAAGACAAAAAGATGCACTATATCAGTACAAGCAACAGAAACCATAAAAATAAAACAACATCGTAAGAACTAGAAAATAGATGAAAGGCAATAACAACAACCAATAAATAACGCCCGATATTATGAAAAATGAAAGAATAGTGTGAATACAATATTAACCACTAGAAGTCTAAGATAAAACCCTATCAGACTAGCCTCCCACCCGGTACGAAGTAGAGAAATGCTCAACTACCTCCTAGCCTACAACCCTAATGCTCGATCTCCACATCTTCCTATCAAGGGCCATGTCCTCGGAAATCTGAAGTCGCACCACGTCCTGCCTGATCACCTCTCCCCAGTACTTCTTAGGCCACCTTCTACCTCTTCTCGTACCCGCCAAAGCCAATCGCTCATACCTCCTTACCAGGACATATGGGCTTCTCCTCCTCATGTGCCCCGACCATCTGAACCTCGCTTCCCGCATCTTGTCGTCGATAGGAGCCACACCCACCTTCTCCCGAATATCTTCATTCTTAAACTTATCCATCCTAGTGTGCCTACACATCCACCTTAACATCCTTATTTATGATACTTTCATCTTTTGAATATAGAAGTTCTTAACTAGACAACACTCTGCCCCATACAACATGGCATGTCTAACCACCACTCTGTAAAACTTACCTTTGAATATTGATCACGCCCAACTATGCCTTAGAAAAAGGACTCTGCGGACGTTACAAATATAACCCGAGTATTACACCCATGGTCGAATCCACAGAGAGTTAACCTATCAACCACTATCTTCAGACCCACTAATTCTTCAGAACCAGCTTCCCAAATATTCAAATCACAGTTGAGTGTTCTTTAACAACTAGCTTGCAAGTAACTAAATAGCTGTAAACTAAACTAATAAGGTTGTAAACAATTATGAGAAAAATGTTAAGGCAATGATTTCCCCTATTGATGGAATCCCTTCTGTTTATGCTCATTCAAATTTACCAACACATCTCTATCAATCATGAACGCTAATCTTACCGTAAATCTCTCCCGAGTAATCACAGTAATTTACTATTGCACTCTCCCGAGATACACTAGCTTACTTTATTTAGCACGATTCACTTTAGATCACACCCCAGGCTTCGTTATCCCTAATCCCGCCTTTAAACCCGCAATTATAGATTCCTCTAATAATCTAGGAGTGGTGTTGTTCAACAATACCCTAAATATGCACTCTTTTCCAAGTTATGCGCACTAAATAGGCACAGCTAATTGAGGATCCTGTCAATTAACTACAACAAACACGAAGTTGAACAAATAGAGATTAAACTAGCAATTTGTATTCACATAAACAAGAAGTTCATCACCCAATAGGTTCCATCAAAACCTTAGACAAGGAATTTAGCTACTCATGGCTATGGGAAAATAAACTAAGATTAAATTCATCATAAAAATCAAAAGAAAAGAAGAAAGATGGTTGGAGTATTCTCTCACAATGGTTTTCCTTGCTAAGAAACCTTAAAAATCAATACATGCCTCTCTTGGGCGAAGTCTAATGTTTTAAATAGGGTTTAGGTCTAAAAATCCTGTATTTGACACTTTGACCCCTGAAGTTTTCGCGCCTGCCGCAGTTCTGCCGCGGTCGCGGTAGAACCGCGGCCAATTACCCTCGGGGAATCACTGAAGTTCTGCAGCTGCTTTCCACCGCGGTTCTGCCGCGGTCGCGGTAGAACCGCGGCCAAACCAGTTCTCTGAATTCTAAGGGCTGGCAGGGCGTGGCTTCATTGGGAATTTACACATTTGGCCTCTTTTCTCCAATTTTTGACTCCAAAACTGCTCCTTAGCCTTCCTTGTACACATATCACCTGCAAATCATGAAAAGCACTAATAAGAGCATTTTGTTATCACTTTTAGCATTAAAACTACACAAGAAGGTGATTATTTACGGTGTGATTATAGTCAAATTCACCTATTATCAACACCCGACACTTAAACCTTTGCTCGTCCTCGAGCAAACTAAACCACACTTCTAGGCCTAACTGCTCAATGCATTGCCCCAATTTTTGTCACACCTGCTATTATCAAAGATCGACCTAAGTGGTGCACAATCATATCTCAAATGCAGACTCTCATGCCAAGACACACTTGTGCTCACTCTAGTTACTCCACAGAAGTGAAAACTCACTTTTTCTTCCTGAGTCACATGCCCTCACATAAACAAAAGCTGAGAGAAGTTTCACACACACATAAAATTCAACAACAAGGAACCATATATAGAAAGAATTCACTCACTCTCAGCAAAGAGCATTCACATGCCACACAGACACACCATAAGCTTGCCCCTAGTGTAATACTCCACTAATCGAGCCATTCAGTCAAAGATCAAGAGGTCTTTATAGGTTGTAATGTAGGCTAAGGGACGGGTAAGATATATGGATATAGTGACTAACCTCCCTAAGCACTTTTAATACACACTTCCTTTTGTCTCACTTTCATGTTCAACCCAATCATTATTCTACATTTTGTTTCACTTGTGACCCCCACTTTTCTTTAGGTAAAACTGGCTTCTTCTTCTTTGTTTTTTTTTTTTTTTTTTTTAGATTTATTGTACACTGCCAGTTCACCAATCAGAACCTTCATTCTTGATTCCCTTTTTTTTTCCACTAACTCTCTCCCACCCCACACTTTGACTTTTGTATATTCTTTAGTGATTCAAGTGCTTCTAGGAGGTAAGGTTCAAACAATTAGCTTATTCAAACACAGCGATTTAGATCATTATAGGGTTATCAAAGAACAGGCTTCAGGCTCAAAGGGGGTAACTATGGTAATATGCACAGGTGGATTCTCAAGTATAGAGGGTTGCACAAAGAATTGCCTCAATCATCTCTAAAACCAAACGACTTCTATTTCGCTTTGCAAACACACAGGGCAAGTTCTAGGTATCATATGCAAGCATAGGATGCAAGTAACAACTCACACACACTTAGCATGTAACTCATTCCGAATCAGTTCATCAACACAATTATACGAGTTTTCAAGCAAGACAAGATGTGCAAAATTAAGGCATATATTATGAGTCCACAAACAAGCTTAGACGTCCACTCTCAAGTTCTTTTCTTTGCAAGTGTGCACATTTGGAGTTATATTCTGACCTTCACCCATCTAATCCTAAAACTACAAAAGAAAAATCTACCTAACCCGGTTCAAGAAAAACCCTTGGAAAAGAACCGTGGTCAAAAGAAAAACCAAGGGGGAGGTATTACACTACCTAAAAGAAGAAAATAAAATAAAGAAATTCTACATGGACTACTTCCCTCAAGAGTATTGTCCACCTAGTCCGTCATCAGGAAGAGTTCTCTACAAGTTTTGTTTTGTTATTTTTTTTTTATATATCTGACTTTGACCCTCAAGAGACCCGTCAACAAGTGTCCGTCGTTGGGCCAAGTCAGCTACTCCTAATATAACACACTCACATATATACAACACATCACTCTAATGCTACAGCACAACAACATACATCTATATACATTACAATACACAGTTAGAGCAAGTCTCCCACCCCACACTTAAAATCATGGCATGTCCCCATGTCATATCAAGAAAGTAAAGAGCAGAAGGGTTAGAAGACTTCCCTGAGACTCAATCCGAGTCGGAGACGGTGCTGGGGTCTACATGGCAGGCCCTCCCCAATGCACGTAACCAGGCCATAAACCGGCTCTCAGATCTAGCCTGCCTCTGCGACATGGCGTCCATCCGCGTGTGTAGGCCATCCACCGAGGTGCGGAGATCCGCGACCTCTTCCTCCAAGGAGCGCAGCATAGGCCGGGAGGACTGTGAGCGTGATAGGTCTGCTCCAGAATGGGGGCGCCGAGAGGGCCCGGCACTGTCAACAGA